ATTTAAAATACAGTCAAGTACGCTCAAACTATAATATCGTCTATTGCATTTAACTCGTAATGTTTATATACGTGATTGCTATATATATCTACTATAGGTTCTATATAGTGTATCAAACTGTACGTAACGTTACCTTGACGGATGTAATCACAAACGCATAAGTACTAAACCTAGAAACGCATTGCACACCATAATATTTTACAATGCTGAATGTTGATTATTTGCCTATATACCAGCTGTATACACTTATTATATATTATTATTTAAGATGGACGAGAAACATAATCTTAATCGTCGACATATTAAATTATGATTTTTAATTTTCCGAATTTATTCAATACATAACTAATCAATATATCATTGGAATGCAATGGGTACGTCAATTTTTAAAAATCTCAACTCGAATAAAATGTAATGATTGAAACACGCATAATATTTCAACCAATAAAATATATTATGTAAATATATAGGTAAACGTTGTCGGTTAAATGCGTCACGATATAAATTGTTTGTAATGTTTGTGTGTTACCTACCTAATTTATTATTAAATGTTACTAGTTGTGCAATTTATACACGTTGTTTAACGTTAATAATATTGTATACAAGTATGTTAACACATCTTTTAAGTACGGACACTATATATTTAATAGTCATACGAATAAATCAAACTATGCCTATACAAACAATTTTTATTATTATTTAATCAACAAAATAAATTGATTGTTTTACTAGCTACTGTAAAAATATAATTATAATCTTAAAAATTATGTACCTATGAACAGAAATAAATTGAAATCCACCTCATCAGAATTTTTTCAAGACAAAAGAAATTGCCATTTTATGGTTTTTATGTTAAATAGTTTGTTTTAAAATATCAACAATAATATAAAATAGTAATAATAATAAATAATAATATGTCACCTAACTGTTAAATTATTTTGTCTGGTAAGTAAAGACTCCATTCAAAACCTATAAAAGTTGTTGGAAGCTTGTCATAAGTATGGAAAAATAAATCCTCAAGAAAATGTGAAACCTAATTAATTACAACTGACTGAGTAAGTAGACTGAAACTAAATAAATCTTGATGTTTATTAAGTACATATGGACTGTATACTCTGCAACAAAATTAAAAATACTATCAAGGGTCATTCATTGTGTACATGATTGCGCAATGCCGTCTTTACTATAAGAGCACGTGGGGCACGCGCCCCCAGGGCAGGGGGTAAATGGGGCCCCTCCGAATTTTAGTGTGTTATATTAGAGTGTATAATCGTCGTTGATGTATTTGACGAAATTGCTTTAAAGTAAATTTCGATTAGTACACTATTAACATCACGTTTACTTATTTATTAGAAATATCTTAGTGTTCACTGCGTTGTGTGTAATATTTTAAAGTCTCGTTTAATTATGTCGAAAAGAACATATTATTTAAGTGGTCCAGAAAAAATAAATTCCAGCTAGAAATGAAAATATCAGTAAACTACCTAAATTAATTTCATATTTTACACTTGAAAAAGTTGAAAAAACTAACAGACAAACCAATCCTTCGACCTCGGTATGAAGATACCTCTAAACCTAAAAGCACAGAAGCCGGGCACACGTTTGACATAAAATAAAATACTGGGGTTTAGAGTTTATAATTTCCAAATATTAAGACAGTCATATACTCATCAGAGCCTGGGTCTTACAGCTCAGGCAACCGCGAATTATGAACTACAGACCAACCTATCCCTGGTACGTTAGTAATTATCGTATGGTTAGGTACCTTCGTAGATTTTAAATCTTCCAAATGTTTTTAATTCCATTATTAATTAATAATTATTATCATAAAAAAATTGCTTAAATAATGTATATATGTATGTGGCATGTGCAGTTATTTAACCTGGTTTTATTTTATTTAATATGTTTAATATATATTATTATTATTATTATTATTATTATAACTAGGTTCTGCCTTTGTATTTTTAAATACAATTAAACTAGTATATGTTAATTTTTGAATTTCAAAAGAATAAAGTCATTAAACTAAAGTACATTTAGATGTTTTCATTGGCTTTTTTTTTTTTGTTGTTGATTAAACTCTGTGTGCCCAAGGGCAAGGCCCCCTGCATAGTCAAAGGTGACTCTGCGCCATAATTTTCCATTGCAGCCATTATTTCTCTAACATAAGAAGCTACATATACACTTTCAGCATAGGCGTGCGCACGGGGGCTGCAGAGGCAGCATATGCTGCCCCTGGACTTACTTTGGGGCCACCGGGGCCGGCAAATATTAAATAATGGGCCTCGGTAAAATTATATTTCCACAAAGGATTTTTTTTGTTTTGATAAAATATAGATAAATATTTTATATATAGGCTTGTAGAAAAGTACACCTTTAGTGCCTTAGTACCTTACTGTACAATCTTTTATCCAAAAAAACAAATAACCAATACAATTTTAATTTTGATATCCAATAGTAAAAAAAGTAAAACTATGGGCTGGTTTTAATGGTGAATTTGAAAAATGGGCCGAATCAATCTCTTGCTGCCCCTGAAACCGGAGGCTGCGCACGCCTATGACTTTCAGCATCACTTCCTTTTATGAATAAGTGTTCTAGTAATTCGTTTTTTTTTTGGCCTTTGGTTTACAGCTTTTATCAAACTACAAATAATTATTTTATACATGTTATTAATTGCTTAATATTATCAAGTTGAATTTATGTATAATGCTGACGGAGTTGTTCAAAAGGATAACTGCATCTCGAGTATGGTGATTGCCTATTAGCAACTTCTACTAATGTGATACCTAAGGACCAAACATCTGAACTGACATCATAACCAGGTCTTCCAGCAATGTATTCCGACTAAAATTAAATAGAATTACACCACAAACTATTTGGTTCATACATTTGATTTGGATCATACACTACTTTTTATAGGTTAACTTCCTAAAAATGAGAACATTTATTAAAAGATAAATAATGAAAACGGAATATTCCTACTTTACGGGACGCATTTTTTTGCAATTTTTTTTCAAACTTTTGTAGTTTATAGTTAAGTATCCTAAAAACGATGGTGAAGTCAGAATTTGGGGCTCGGACATAGTTTCGAAGTTATGACACATTGACACTTCAAAGTTAGTAAAAGATATGTTAAATTAGTTGTGTTAAGAGGACATGATAACCGCATGTGTTGTTTCCGTCTTACAAATGCGTAACATACCAAATTTTACACTTAGCAGAACACGAGTAGCTCCGTTAGTTTAAAAATTAGAGTGAATTGACCTCTTATAAAATCTAAAGGTAAGATTATTATCTAGACAACCTCATAGGTTTTTTATTATATTTTAATTTTAAATCGAGTTATGAGTATTTTAAAATTGTAAATTGTTTGTACATCTCAACAACCTCATAATTCGCTTTAAAATTAAAATTTAATTAAAAGTCCATATGAGAGGTCATTTACTCTAATTTTTAAAATAACGGAGTTAAACGTGTTCCTCTAAACGTAAAATTTGCTATGTAAGACGGTGACAACACATGCGGGTAACACATCCTCTTAATTTTCGTTTTTAATTATTGTCCGAGCGAACGTAGCGAACGAGTGTCCATGCTAACAATATAATATGTACTTTTTAACATAAGTAAAAAAAGAATATTCCTGTGACTTACTTAAAGTGGTTTTACACAACAAGTCGAGGGATATTTTCATCAATAATTTTCCGCGTGTGCATAGCGAGCGAGTGACCATACTGGCAACAACGTAAGTAATACGTATGCAAGTGTTCTATTTAATTAATTTCAAAGGAGACAACCTTGTTTTCAGAAAGTTTTAGTTTTCCAATGGATTGTATTGATTGACACATTTTTAGTATTTTTCTATGCCTAAATATAAAACAAAAAAAAGATAAACATGGTTGTTGAATGGAAATAATAGAATAGATTAATACATTAATCCAGACACGATTAAGTTAAATTAATAACACATTTTAGTACTGTGAATAATTATAATAATAATTACCTATCATAATAATACAGCTCACTAACGGACAGTAGCTCATGAGTCGCGTATATCGACTGACAGCACTATATTGATAATAATTCTCTAGCCACGGTTTAAGATATACTTAGATAGGTATATCTAAAACCGTGACTAAAGCTATAATATTAACTGCCACACTCGAGATTGTAACGTGTCATATCAGAATTTTTGCTTCCCTTATAAACATATATAACTATACTTAAGTTACAGTGGGTGCAATTGTATATACCCAACTAATTATACTGGGTGTATTGTTTTTTTTTCAACACTTACCCTTAAACAATATACCCTAAGATAATATATTTTACGTATTTCTATACCTAATACCCAACATCTACCTGAGTTTCTGGAATCTTGTTGACTTGGTCGATATGTCAACTAACTGCTCCTGTTGCTTGGCACGTTCTCCAGAGAAAACATCTCTTGGTTGAACTTCTCAGGAAAATAATGATAATATAGAGTGTCCCGTCATTTTTACGCGGTAATTTCGACGCACGTCTCTTTGCACACCATATTTTACAATGCTGAATGTTGATTATTTGCCTATATCAGCTGTATACACTTATTATATTATGATTTAAGATGGACGAGTAACATCATATTAATCGTCCACATATTGAATTATGATTTTTAATTTTCTAAATTTATTCAATACATAACTAATCAATATATCATTGGAAAGTAATAGGAACGTCAATTTTTAAAATCATCAACTCTCGAATAAAATGTAATGATTGAAACACGCATAACATTTCAACCAATAAAATATATTATGTATATATAATAATTATTATCACAAAAAAAATTGTTTAAATAATTTATATAATATGCATGTGCAGTTATTTAACCTTGTTTTATTTTAATTAATATGTTTAATATTTATTATTATTATTACAACTAGATTCTGCCTTTGTGTTTTTAATTAAAATTAAACTATAGTATATTATGTTAATGTTTGAATTTCAAAAGAATAAAGTCATTAAACTAAAGTACATTTAGATGTTTTCATTGGCTTTTTTTTTTTTTTTTTGCCATCATTTGCCATTGCATCCATTATTTCTCCAACATAAGAAGCTACATCTACACTTTCAGCATCACTTCCTTTTATGAATAAGTGTTCTAGTAACTCGTTGTTTTTTGGCCTTTGGTTTACATCTTTTATCAAACTACAAATAATTATTTTATACATGTTATTAATTGCTTAATATTATCAAATTGAGTTTATGTATAATTACCAAGTATTTACGAAATTCACAAAATTAGGAGAAAAGTTGTCAGAAGCCCGCAATCGTGGAGGATTTTCTTTAAGAATCTGACAGGCTTGTTGAAAAACAGTACTGCATGTTGAGTATGGTAGTTGTCCAGTGGCAACTTCTACTAATGTGATACCTAAGGCCCAAACATCTGAACTAACATCATAACCAACTCTTCGACGAAGATTAGGATCAATTTTTTCCGGCTAAAATTAAATAGAATTACACCACAAACTATTTTGAAATAAATACTACCATCGAAACATACAGCCATATAACAGTAGCTCATATAGCTTGAATAACTTGTTGTATCAATACTATACTGCCCTGGCAAACCAAAGTCAGAGAGTTTTATATTTCCTCGACAATCCAATAGAATGTTGCTGGGCGTGATTTTCAAATTTTTTTTACGGTAATTCAATGCTTTTACACTCTGAAATATAGTATATAAGGCAGAGGCTATTTAACATCAATATATTATTTTTCCAATAAAATTATATTTATAGTGAAACCGATGTAGTTATGTTACATGCCAGATTGTTCAATGAATGGTTCAACAGAATAGAATTTCAAAAGTTCGAATAAATTTAAAAATTATTATTTTTAATGATAGTTTAGAATTATTGGGTATGAAGCTATACCAATAGGATATTCAATATTATTTTTTATTATTTATATATTCAGAGTATATAATATGTTAAAAATTAGTTTTGTTAAGAGGACGTGATAACCGCATGTGTTGTTTCCGTCTTATAAATGCGTATAACATACCAAATTTTACACTCAGCAGAACACGAGTAGCTCCGTTACTTTAAAAATTAGAATGAATTGACCTCTTATAAAATCTAAAGGTAAGATTATTATCTAGACAACCTCATAGGCTGTCTATTATATATTAATTTTAAAGAGAGTTATGAGTATTTTAAAATTGTAAATTTTTTGTACATCTCAACAACTTCATAATTCGCTTTAGAATTAAAATTTAATAAAAAGCCCATGTGAGAGGTAAATTTATTCTAATTTTTAAATTAACGGAGCTAAACGTGTTTCGCTAAACGTAAAATTTGCTATGTAAGACGGTGACAACACATGCGGGTAACACGTCCTCCTAATTTTCGTTCTTAATTGTCCGAGCGAACGTAGCGAACGAATGTCCATGCTAACAATATAATATGTACTTTTTAACATAAGTAAAAAAAGAATATTCCTGTGACTTACTTAAAGTGGTTTTACACAACAAGTCGAGGGATATTTTCAACTATAAGTGTCCGAGTGTGCATAGCAAGCGAGTGACCATACTGTCAGTGTAGATGTGCTTTTCAACATATATAAAGAAGAATAATCCTTAGAAAGAAGTGCGTAAACAAATATTTTGGAAAAAATATTTGATAATTTCGTTTGGAAGGAACATCAGATTTGTTAAAATTTTAGTTTTACATAAAAAAGTGCAAAAACGTATCATATACGGTTGGGTTGAGGGGGGGATCGAACGTTGTATATTGAGTTGTAACAAATGCGAAGTTAACATTTACCACTACGCCACAGATAAATTTACAAATTTGAAGTAATTTAGGTATTTATAAAGGTTTAATAACCTAAAGTTAAAACTTCGATTAGCTATAACTTCGAAACTCACTTCGTTCACCAAATCCTGATTCATTCAACATTTTTTTTCACCTACAAAATTACTAAGACCCCAAAACAATCCCAAAAAACGGCTGACCCGTAAAGTAGGAATGTTCCAAAAAAAAAACATTTACTGCAACGGTTATTTTTCCCAATATTTTTTCTGGAATTTGTTGATTTAATCTTTCATAGGCGTATTTATAGAGCTTCTCCAATGATGTGTCCATAGCTTCCATACAAATCCAACAATCCCACTATTCAAAACAATACATAATATCAATTCATATTCAAATTTTAATTTAAACTGTTTAAAATTACATCTTTGAAAACAACTCCATAAAATTGCACAATATAAGGGCATTCATTAAATTTCATTACAACATCCAAGTCCATTAGAAATTTTTCATTTTCTTTAACACCGCTTATCCTCTAGTAATGAAATAAATTAAATTAATTCACATAGTTAAAATTTACATTTAGGTATTCATATTATTTATATTAATAAGTGTGCGCATGAGGGTCACTGATATTAATAAATTATCTTTAAATGTGCAATAATAGCTAAAAAAGGATTGTTACTACAAATTACCCCCCCCCCCTTGATTATAAAGTCGGCACACGTCTATCCATAATATTATAGTACATAAGTGAATTTAATAAATTTAAATACCTGAACAGTCATTAATGTATCACTACTATGATGTATTATTTTGTTCATAGTTCCAAAGCCACCTCGACCAATACCTCCTAAATCTTTTAAATCGTCTGATGTAAAATCATACACCTTAAAAATAAAATTATTTATAAGCAATACATATGCAAGCATTGTATTTAATTAATTTCAAAGGAAATAACCTTGTTTTCAGAAAGTTTTAGTTTTCCAATGGATTGTATTGATTGACACATTTTTAGTATTTTTCTATGCCTAAATATAAAATAAAAAAATTATAAACACGGTTGTTGAATGGAAATAATAGAATAGACTAATAAATTAATCCGGACACGTTAAATAAAATTAATAAACAAATTTTAATACTGTGAGTAATAATAATAATTACCTATTATAATAATACAGCACACTAACGGACAGTAGCTCATGGGTCGCGTATATCGACTGACAGCACTATAATGATAATTATAATCTAACCACCGTTTAAGATATACTTAAGAATATCTTAAACAGTGACTCAAGCTAGAATATTAATTTCCACGGCCGAGATTGAAACGTGTCATATCAGAATTTTTGCTTCCCTTATAAACAATATATATATATATATATATATATATATATATATATACTTAAATTACAGTATGTGCAAACGTATATATATACCCAACTAATTATACTGGGTGTATTGTTTTTTTTCAACACTTACCCTTAAACAATATACCCTAACATATTATATTGTACGTATTTCTATACCTAACTAGCTGAATAATCTGGCGTTGCCTATGGCTATTTGTAGTTGAAAAAAATATTTATACAGTGAACCTAAAATAGTATTGAAGTCATAGTCGATCATCCCTAATCTTTAGAAGTATTTAATATTTAAAAATATTTTAATATATTTCGGGGGGTTATTTTATTTTATTTATTTCATTTTATTTTAGGGATAAATCGGCGTAATTGTATCTAATTTTGTAAAGTAATTCGCATATGTAACCTGCAACCAATGGCAACCATTAATAACCAAAAAAGAAGTTTCAATTTCCACTGTGAATCTTAAGATCCCTGTTTGATCACCTCTTTAAAATATGAATATCAGAAAATTCCTTCTTATTGCACATCTAGATCATTAGAGGAACCACTATACCAAATATAAAGTTCGTACGTTTTGTATTTTAAAACTAATGTTATGTATTGCTTGTTAGATGAAAAAATCCCTTCTTAGTTGTTTTTTTCATCAGATAATTAAACTACTGACTAAATTAGCTTCAGTGGTTCCGGCTAAGTGGTTATTTTTATTTTTATCCCTTTTACCCCTTTTAACCCCTTTAGGGGTAGAATTTTTAAAAATCCTTTCTTAGTGGGTGTTCGCATTACTAAATAAAACTACTGTCCAAATTTCATACTCATAGCTTCAGCGGTTCCGGCTAGGCGATGATGAATCACTCAGGATAAGTAATTTTATATATACATTAAATATATATATAGATACCCAACATCTCCCTGAGTTCCTGGAATCTTGTTCGTGGTGGTGGCTTGGTGGATATGTCAGCTAACTGCTCCTGTTGCTTGGCACTTAGTCCAGAGAGAAAACATCTCTTCATTGAACTTCTCACGAATATAATGATATATAATGGGTGTCTGGTCATTTTGACTCGGTAATTTCGACGCACGTCAAATAACGCTGTCATTTGGACGAACGACAATCAGGCGCATGCTTCATTTAGACACATTCCATTTTAAAGCCACCACTATTAGGCGCAAGTAAATTTTGACGCAAAACAAAAAAAAATACATATATAATATACATTATAAATTATAATATAATATCATTCAATTTCAAGGTAAAAACCTGGTATCTATGTAGCTGCATATCATAGTTAATCTATATATTAAGGTCACATATTATATCTAAATGACTAATATGGTATACATTTTATCATTATCTTTTATTATAGCTACAGTATTTTGTTTTAGAATAATTCAAAAACCAAAATCGAATTCGTCAAAAACGGATTTTGCTTAAGAATTAACGTTTTCCCTAAATGTCCTTAATTTTTGTTTTGTTTTTCACTGCGCTTTTGAAAACTATTGAGAATTTTAAATGTTGACCTTCCGAAGTCCCAACTAGATTCACTTTCCCATCGAACAAGATACTGTCGAAGAAAATCGAAGCAGTGTTGCTGGCTCTTGCTGCCCCAAACGGTGATGACAGACACACACAAAAAAAAAAAGAAAAAAACCCACACATCATTGTAAAATCAATACATTCATCGCTATGCTCAGAATCTAAAATTGAGTACCTATAGTAATTTACAAAGTCTCGGATTTGAGAAAAAATAATTTAATTTGATTGATCAAAGGAACATATTTCTTGATTCTTGTTATATTTTCCACGGTATTGTATAGTGTGATTTCTATTACTTGTTAACTCATAGTCCCATACTACCTTGACAATTTCACGTTTTATTTATTACAAATCTTCATGAATAATATGATACTTTGAAAAAGGTAGTAAACCTAAGTACAATATAGATCGATTTCTGACCTTGTACAGAGTTATAGTGTTATACCATCGAATGACAAGTTTTTTTTAAAAATGAATAGACATCTTATATTATATTGTGTAGGTAATATCTAATGTAATATTACTCACCAAAATATTTGTATCCATACACATTTATAACTATTTTATATAACTATATCTAAAATATTTGATTAAAAAACGGAATATAATAAAATATTTATCTACCTATAGGTACCTATTAAAGTTTGGTATAAATTATAATATCATTAAAATAGTTGATATAATAATACATTTACCTTCAATAATTTTAAGTAAAAAGATAAATCAAATATAAAATGTAAGTAAAATATTTATGCCCAAAAAACGTAGATTTTGTAATAATAATAATTTTATAAAAACATATTTTGTTGTTAATAGTATTGATTTTCGTTATGATTTAATATTATATATTATTAATAAATAAAAATAGGATTGTCTCTACAGTAGAGGTTATTTTTTAAATATAAATTTATTTTTGATTAAATACGTTTAAGTAGCATACATTTTTTTTTTGGTCAGTTTTTTCTGTTAAGCCCTGTATTACTATAATATAAAAGAAAAATTATAATCAGTAGTTTTATATTATTAATTACAAATCGAATAATGCACGAATAATCGTAGTTTTTATACTTCATACCTACTTAAATACATCCATACGAATTTCAAAACACAAACTTCTCATCGAATGCAGCTGATAAAGTTTTATTTTTAAATTGATTTATTTATTAAATGCTTTTTTGTGTTATTGTACTTGTATGATATGTAAATATCAAAACACAGGTCATATAATAAAGAAATTTTTAGTCATCGTCTTGCGCTTACGTTTCAACTTGCGTGTGAATTCCAGATGAGTGATTGTCCGGAGTTTAATAGTGACGTGTCTCACGTTCGTCGTCCGCCTTGTCTTATCTGCCGAAAAAATAAATGAAATAGGTATTATATTAAAATATATAATATATATATATATATTTAGGTTTACTTAAACGTATAAAAATAATTTATTTTTTAAATGTAAGTCATATGTTGTAATAATATGTTATACCTAATGCATACAATATAACTCGTCATACTTTTAAATATTTTATTTGAACAGATCAAAGATCTTCATAAAGATCTAAGAAAATGTAAAATATTTTTGTTATTTAGTTTATATAATATTACGACTATAAAACTAATATTCAAAAAAACATTATTACTAACTTTAATGGTCGAAAAAAGCATTAATATTTATGGGCATTCGTATAAGTACTATTCCTATTCCCTATTGAAATATTTCTCATAAGCTTTAGGTAAGTATACTATCGTCGCAACCTTTGGGAATAATTATTCCATAGCGTCGTTCTCGTGATGAGTGTTAAAACGAACCTATATAATGAATAATGTGTGAGCAGGTACTTGCTGTTCGCGAATATATTATATATTATGTAGACTTATGGACTAAATAAAAATGTCTCGAATGCTTCGCATAATAAATAATAACTAAATGTCCGAACTATTAAAAAAAACCTACGTATAGGTACTAGAATATAGTTACGGATATAGATGCGTGTTCAACGAAAAACAGTAAACCTACATCCATCGTAAATGTGTATAGATAAAACAGGATATAGTAATATATTATTATGTTAACCGTTATTAAAATGCTATTTTACGGTCTAAAAACAAATAAAGTCTAGTAGTGGTACACAATTTATATTATGTTCAGTGAAATTTCGCTATGCTATGAAGACGTCTCGTGGGCAACAGCGAAAAATGCGTATTATAAAGGAATTCGTTAAATGGAACGATAAAACAATATTATGGTTATAATTTGGTATATGGTACTCAAAAATATCTCGTTGAACTGAACATTTTGTTGAACAGAAATTCGGTGTATGGGAGTTTCCATGCGTAATGAAACGCATCGTTTTCCCGAAGGTTTGTTGTAACGGCTATTCTGTACCCACTCCGATCGTCTTCATTTATTCATGAAGTAGGTACCTACAACCTACTTAAATATGTTTAAAAAAACAACTTATATGATGAATTATAAGCAAGGTTTAAGTGACATAAATTCAAATGTATCTTTGCGGAGAGAGGATCAAGCAATTACTAAACAATATTTAAAAAAAAAGCACACATTGTAAAACAAATATTCTTTTCTGTGCTCAAAGTCTAAAAGGTTAATGAGTATCTATCTCCCATATTTTCCGTGGGTAGGCCCCTTAGGGGGGAGCATTTTTTTTTCACCGGGGCGCAAAATGTTTGAATGCGGCACTGGCTATAATACGTTGAGTTTAATAAGTCAACCCATTGATAAAGGTATGATATTCCTGTGTATACCTAGGTATAAATAGTCAGGTTAGGTGGGCCGGTATAGGACGTAGGTACACAATACTGTGATATTATAGGTACATCATATTATAATATATTATTGCGACGAAGTCAGCTTATTGGCGACCAATAAATCGCAAACCATATGCATCATTTTTGACCGTTGACCTGCTGCGAGCACATCGACATACCTACATTACTATCGTGTTATTTTTTATGAACCGAAAAGAACCAATAGACGCGTATAGGCAGATAGGTAAGTACTCAAATATATCTTACGACTTCTCACGTGACTGCCTACTTGAAATACGCATAAATAATACTGCTGTACTCCAATAGATGCTCCGGTACTTGAGACTCGTTTCATAAACAATAAAAATTTGTTTTTATCCATCGAGCACATCATATAGCCTATAGGTACACAATATAGAAAACAGACCATGTATGATTACTCTGATGTATGATGTACAATATAATACTCTAAATAAACCATTTATTCATAAAATCATTAACGACCATATAATAATATATATGCCTACCATTTTGGTATATTTCACACTCTTATTATATAGGCATATGCCATGTACACAATCGTTGGCATCCGTTAACTTGTAACAACACACAATGCTCAATGATTATCCTGTCAGAATAATACAATATAACATTTCAGTAGCGTTGAATTGGTCCCGATTTACCTCTTCACGAAAAATCAAAAATATTACCCGAGTTGTTTGATTAAAATCGATTCCCTTGCGTTCCAGATATTTTCGCATCTCTCTATTGATGAAAATCGCAACCATTATTCTTCCGGTCACATCGGTTAAATACGCTTATAACGTGTTCTACATACTCAAGTTTGACCGTTTTTGGACAGTCAATCAATAACGACAATTAGGTATACTGCAGGTACTTAATTGGTTCTAGTTATATTATTCATCGTTTAATAGGAATATTGTAATTCGTCGTGTGGAATATCCTCGGATTACGTTATGTTAAAATATTTCACTGCAAACAACAATATGGCATATGGTTTACTTCAATATTATGAATTCAAATCATTTACAAGTCTACAATCCGGTCGAACCATATTATGTAAAACCATAATATTCTGACAAAATATCCTATATTTAATGCATACAAAACATTATTAAAATAAAATATAATATTATGTTATCGTAAACGTGTTTATTTTGTGTAAAACGTTGGACACGAATCAAAGTTGTATTTGATAATAATTTTAAAGTATAGATATTATTTTAATATTTTTTAATAACGTGTTTTTAAAATATATGTATAATAATATGATAAATAATAAGAATGATACAAATTTATACCGATAATTACTATACTACATTTTTTTTGATTGGCTTAATAATAATTGTAACAGCGACTTCGTGCAAGTCAATAGCTTAAATATCATTAGTCATTACGCATTAGTCATTAGTCACTATACCTACATTCTATAATAATGAAATTTGAATATTTTCGAATCTTGACAAATCATAGGTTATACCTGCCGATATAAAAAGAAAGTTTAGTCGTATTTTCAAACTGGCATAGTATATTCGTAGACATCCTATTGCAATCATTACCAGCTACCAATTAAAAACTATTTTTTATACAGTACCTGCAGTGATTATCTTAAGATTGGAAAAATAATAATTTTTTGATGTGTAAACATCTATGCCATCGGTTTGTAGTACGACCTTTTTGGGGAATCGAGCGTCAGGCGTAAGTCATGTAGATGTGACTGCTTGAGAGTGTGTGTGTGTCGTCGCCATAGCGCTAAAATCGCAGAACCAATAAACCAGG